AAGTTTTAAATTTAAAGTTTAGTTAAGGTAAAGTTAAAATTTAATTAACTTAGTTAACGTAATAGTTACGTAATAGTAGTTGTAGTACTAGTGTGTGTGTGTGTGTGTGTGTGTGTGTGTGTGTGTGTGTGTGTGTGTGTATATATATTCATATACGTTATTACATCAGGAAATAATGCAATTACCATTAGAATAACATTCCCTAGCCACGAATGAAGCAATAATCTTTACGGTAAGATGGTTTTAATTACGAGACCAGTACCCTGTTTACTGTGTAAGGAGAATCACTCATATTCTTCTATGTGTATATATACATTTTTATTTACACATACACACACACACACACACACATACGTCAAATAGCTTGTGTAAGATAACTAAACTTCAATCCCCTATCAATTGAGACAACTGATAAGTTGTGTGGTGTAAAAACTCATTCTTCTATATATTGTATATACAGAACACTCCAATATTGTCGTAAACACATTTATAAACATATAAAAAAATATCGAATTGTCTGGAATAACATGTCAAGATGACTTGAAAAGTGCACACTGTATTGTTGCAAATGATAACTGAATAAACCTTTTATTGTTTCTGAACTTCTAGCAGCATGCAAGATTAGGGTATAGCTTTAGAAATATCTAGTACCCCCATATATGCTTAGTGTTTGGGTGTTAGGAACTTTAGGTGACACATTATATAATTTGAAATAATATTACCATTAGCAATTAACTATTTTTATACAATATATAAAAAACTAAGCATTACATTAAAAAAATGTAGACTTTTAGAAAGCATTTATTTCAAAAACGAAACTTCTTAAAGATTAGCACCACTACTGACCACGAGTAATTTATTTCTAAGTATAACTATGTATTTGGTAAATACATACACTTTTAAAAGTTGATTTTTTTAAATAAAATTGATATTTATTGGAGAAGCAACTAATTCTTTTTAAAGTTAATTGAATCCCTCAGGTGTTTGTGGCATCTGTTTATATCTTTAAGACAACAGTAACAATTACTCAAAAAATGTTTGATGCAACCCAAAAATATCTAATAGGTATTATCAGCCAAAAATGTTCAGCTTGAACAAGCATGAATGTCCACTGTCAAGTGGTATATATATGTTGTATCCACTGGCAAAATATTAGATGCATCACAAACACAAAAATACTTCTGCTACTAATGACTGTACTAACAGTATGAGGGTAGGTTAAAATCTTTTGGCATGTTTTTGCTGAATAGAAGTGCTCAAGAGGACTTAACTGAAGTATTTAAAACAGTTAGAATTTGTAATCCATAAATCCAAAAGAAGTTTTCAAAACATCTGCAGGAAGTAGGACCAAAGGACACAAATTTACACAGCTTCAATTAAGGCAGTGTTACTTTTTTTCTAACATAGTAGTCAGCCAATGGAATAATTTGCCTCCAGGTGTAGTAAAAATTACTATGCTGAAGAAACAGAAATAGGGAATTACATGTGGATGAATATTTTAGGTACCAGGGTTGGAAATACGAAAGTGAGTCACTTTATGTAGTTTGGAAAATGGTGTGGTAAAAAGTTTAATAACCTATATGGATCAAATGGCTGCATGTTATCTCTTAGAAATTAATTATGTGCTACAGAACACCGTCTTCATCAGAAAAATCATTTAAGATAAATAAAGTGTTTGCACCATATTATACAATAAGGAGAGCAGTACATCATTTAAAAATTACAACAGAATAATAAAACAATCATAAAATCAAAATAACTTTGTAAAATACATTACTTAAAAATAACACCAATAGTAAATTGAACAAAGAAAAACCTTAAATAATTCTTTTAATTTACTAACTTATCTATATCTTTACATTGCTTAGCTAGAAGGTGATAGTGTCATTCACTCTGTTTTTAAAATGACTTAGTCACAGTATACCATGAAAGAAAACAGAAAAGTGTAATAGTTCTTTTTAAAACACTTAACATGCAAATCATTAAGCATATGTATGCTGTTCATTTAAGAACTCCCATGTCAGAAGAGAAAATTAAGTCTTTAGGTCTACATAATATACAATACTTCTTCAAACTGATTCTTTTTAGGAATACATACATTTTTACTACTATTAATTAACAAATAAAAAATATTTGAATTGTTTTCAACTTCATGTATAGACTGAAACAAATACTTTTTTTCTTTTAATGTTCAAAATTTTTTGTTGAGAGTAGAGAACCCTATTTTTTAAAATGGTAGCCATTTAAAATCTTAATATAAACATGAAAACACAGACTCTATTCTAAACAATAGTAGTCTAGATTATTAACTTACCTTGAAGTTACTACCATTCAGCCAGGAAGCTATTGAATCAACAAAAAATCCAAATTCTTCACATTCTATTGAGTTGTTCTGATTTTCAAGATATTTAATGATGTCATTCCCAAGCTGAATACGTTTTTTAGTGTCCTGGTTACTCAGCAGTGGAAGAAAGTCATCTAGACTAGATGCCATTGTCTTTGGTCTGATGTAAAATTTTTCTGAAGACACTACAAGTGAATAGTGTCTACCCTACACCACAGTTTCACACACCTACAATATACAGAGCGAAAACAAAAGATCTGTGTGACACAGAGAAAAAAAACAACATTCTCAGCATTCTTATAATGAATGGTGACAGAAATCTTAGTATTCTGAAGGTACAATAAAAATATTTACTATACTTATTGTGTAAAAAAAATCCTATATTATGTTGAATATATTACTATTTAAATCAATAATTTAAACTGCCATATATCCATTTGTCTTTTTTACATCTTTGGAAAAAAAAATTACATGTTACATACACCACGCAAAACCTTCCTATTCTAGAAATATTCTTACAACTAATAATAGAAGGTTTTACATGAAAAAATTATCTGGTGCTACTTCATTCTAATTTCGTACATAAAATCTTTATTATCACATTTGATATTTCTTGAAATATCAATGATTTCAAAACCAGAAACCAGATAGTAATTACAGCAGTAATAAACAGAATGAAATATTTTGTTAACTTTTGCACAAGCACAACCATCCTCGTATCATGTTAGTTAGCTAATTATCCATTAATATTTTTCATAAATGTGCAGTCATAGAACTATTACAGAGAAATCTTTAGAAATGGAACACTAGGTAATTTTATTCTTAGCATGAAAACAGATCAACAATGAG